TCAGTGGTTTTGATTTGAGCTTTGAGTGGATCCCTGAGTTCACAGCAGGAGAAAATGACACAGATGATTTCATTGAATAAGTTAGACGGAGGAGCATCATCAGAGCAGTCCAGACTCCAGGACTGATCCCTGAATCCAAACGCTCAGTCATTACTGAATCCTTTCCTTCTGATTCTGCTGGAACTCACTGATATAGTGACAACTTCACAGATCAGTGGAAGAAGATGGAGGGATGGTTTTAGTAGGCTGGACAGCAGCTCCAAGGAAACAGGATTTTATAATGCTAGGCTAACCTGTAAGAGCTGTTTGCACTGATAAAGAACAATACTCGGGCTTTTACCTTCACTGTTTCACTAAAGCTTAAAGAGTCAATGTCCACAAATTACACTTTAATTACAAGAAACTTTATTAAAGCAGTTTAGCAGAAGAAAATATTAATAATCAGATTACTTAAACTCTACTGATGTAACTAAGCTACTCTGAGCTAATGCTGAGTTTGTTCTTCTCTTTGGTGAGGAGAGGTTGGAGGAAGGATGAACACAGCCAGGCCTAAAGATGCTCTTATCCCCGAGTTCTGTTTTGATGATAATCCCCCAACAGGAGAGCAGCTGGGCATCCAGTGGAAGTGTGATATCATCCAAATCCTTATGAATGAACCATCTAACATGACAACAATGAGCAGATGAAGCCAAAAATCACACAATTGGTTGACAGATTGACAGGTTGGACTGAGGTTCCCCCTCTAGTGTCTCTGCTGGAGTCTTCAACATGAACCTCTTAGATCCAACCTGCTGACCTTCTCTTCTTACAGAAAACTTATTTATCTTTGATTAACAATAAAAATGCTTTATTATTAGGAAACAGAGAAAAGTTCTGTTTCAGCACTCTGACCATATTTAATCACATAAAGCTGGATATTAAGACCTTTGAACCTCTGAGCTGTGATGTAGAGGCAGCCAGGGGGGACTTCTAGATCTTTCTTCCCCAGGTCACATGACACTCGTACATTTGATTGTGCTATAAAATGATTGTAGATCAATTTATTGACTAGTAACTATGAATAAAGCAGAGCTGCTTCTCTCTGTATTCACACAAACACTTGAAGAAGTCTCTGAATGAGCGATGTGAGGATCCACTGTTCTGAACCTCGGCTCACTCGACTCAGACTGAAGCTTGATTTAGACTCCTGTGAGTAATCTGAGTAACTTACGCCATAACCTTCCACGTGACCTGACTTGCACCTCCTTACAAACGTAACTACGCGTTGGGTGGACACACGGTGACTTGAATGGCATGGAAAGTTGCAGTGTCGGGTTCAGATTTCCTGCAGAAGTTTAATCGAGCTTCACTCAAGGCTCTGCCTAAACCTGACCAATCAGAAGTCTCCCAGTTTAACCTACCAGTGATGGACACGGTGGAAGTGATCACTCAGAAGTCATGCTCGCTGCTGACATCAATAAATAAATAAATGGTGGAGCATGCACACAGCTCTGTGAGCTCTTCAGGAACTGGACTCTCCCCCTTTGAATCTTCACTCTGTTATCTCCCAGTTTCATTGGTCTGTTTGAGATAAATACCATGATTAATCCTGTCTGCTGGCTTAAAGTAGCCTCAGAACATGAGAGTTCATCATGTGTTTCACGTTTCCCAGCTGAAACCAGGAGCTGCTGACTTCATTTCCTGTAATATCTCAATGTGTTTGTCTGTACAGAGATTTAGCGTGCTAGCAGGTATCAAGGTCTTTGTTCCTACACAAATACAATCACTGCCAGCACTGTGAGCACTGCCACTTTCACTCTGGACCCACAGACACACGAGTGTGAGCTGAGACTGAAACACCACACTGGCACTGACTCTCTTACTGTTACTGACACCAGGCTCCAGCTGTGTTTGCAATATTGTGATCTCAGGTAGCATCAGTAATGTTTCCTGTTTGCAGTGCAGCACATTATCAGGAAGTCACTTTGTAATGTTAGCACAATCTTTATGTTCTGTGCTCACTGATGCTGTGATAGTCACACACAATGAATCTCAATTCTACTACTAAAGATTTGAAGCGAGCATGATTGGATGAATGAAAGTGAGGATCGCAAGGCTGCAGTTTCAGACTGTGATTTTAACAGATCTGAGCTCCTGTTGGCAGAGTCGGAACACATCTGAGGAGACAGAGAAATCATTTCACAGAGCTGTGTCTGATGTACAATTCTATTATTGGACTATGTCCATCTCATTGTGTATTCAGTACTGTATAACACACAGTACAGGCGAGTGTGAAAAACACTCACATACATTTGATGCACCCACTGTGTTAAGGCCTGAATCCAGTTCAGTTCATGTTTGATGTTTTTGCTGCCAAATGAAATAAAGACAGCACATACATGATGGTTATTATTTATTATGATGTAAACTCACACTGCACAGACTGTGACTCTACAATGTAACAGTGCCCCGACTCTTTCTTATGTCTTTGGAGCTATAACTGCTCCGCCTCCACAGACTACAAGGTTCAGCCGGTGAGGTGAGAGGTTAATCATGTTTGTCTGCAATTGCAAAATGGTCTCTGTAAAAAGAGGAATAGTTTCTTGCTGTCTCTGCAAAAGAAGAACAGTTTCTTGCAGGGTGTGGGTCTGGTGTTCCAGACGAGAAGTGAAAGTCAGAAGGCTGACAGGAAGCATCTGTCGTGGAGACGGAGACAATGTTATTTTTAAACTGTGTTAAAAGTTATTGTAGTTTTGAATCCTATGTATGAACTGTATCTGATTGACGTTTAAGGGGCGTCATTAAATTTAAGCCCTGAAGGTATAAAACACCTGCCTATGCTTTGGTAGTTGAAGATCAATTGCTGTCTGCATACGGCGGTGATCTTCCCACGCGTGTCAATAAAAATCATCGTTTGACTTCACCTGGCCGGATCAGTGTTGTTCTTCTTGGATTACCTCCTGTACCTCTCCTCAATATTTGAACCCTAACACCCACCAATAATGTTGTTGAATTTCATCATTCATCTTTGTAACTGTTACACCTTTTATAGTAATAAGATATTAGGGAATTATAGGTGGATGTCTTTGAGATTTGGGAGGAGAACCATAAAAATGTGACATGTAGCAAAGACACAGAGCAGTTTGATTCAATGTGTCAGATTTGAAAAGGTTGAGATAGAACAGTGCATTCTGGGAAATAAAGAGTTCCTAAAATCCTTCTTTCCATTATCCAGTCAGTGTGCTCCCATTAAAAGAGATCATCCAACTCCAGTTTATGTGGCTTGTAGCGTTACAGCAAAAGAAAGAAGTGAAGTAAAGATGTCAAATGGGAAAAAGATTCCTTAGAGGGATCTATAAGATGATTGGCTTCTTTGTCCAGTGTACCAGGCCTTCATATCAGAGCAGGAATCATCAGATCACTGATGGGTTGGCCCATCATTCTCTACATTGTAACAAACAAGATGCAGGCTGATGGACTAACAGCTGCTAACTTCCATCCAAACACACAGCCAGTTCACTTCATGATGAGCTCAGAAAGCAGTGAGTGACGTACTAACCACAATAATCAGAGTATGAGCTGCTCTGACTGTGCTTATCTGTGAAATCAGCAACAGTTCACATCAATGAGGGGAGGCTGAAGGATGATCAATGTGTTCCTGCTGATCGAAACTGCTGGGACTGTGTGAGGTCCTGAGGACTGAGACTTGGGTGGAGCTCAGGATTTATCAGAGGAGACCTGCATGATTACAGCTTTGTTCTTTGTTTTCAGCACATTGAAGAGTCCAGGCATGACACTAAGAGATTCGTGAGCTTTCATTGGCCACAGATTCAGCAGAAAGAAGTGGCTTTCTGTGTGTTCACTGCCCAGAGAAAGCAGCCGAGTTCAGCTGACCTCGGCTGTGTTTCAGTCAAATCCAGCATTACTGAGGAGCAGTAAGTAACACTCAGCGAGAGCACTGATGAAGAGTTTGAGGACAGAGCGTTTGGGCTCATCACTCGTTCTGATTACATCTCCCCCTCTCATTCAATAAAGAAACACTGCCAGAAGCTGCTATCACAGCCACATCAAGCCAAAGAAAGGCTTTACTTTGCTCTTAGATTTAGTGCACTTTACAGCACATTTCATGCAGCAAACACGAGAAATTCACATTTTGAAATGTTCTCCTCCTGAAAGAGAAACTCTTACAAATACATGTCCCACAAGGCCGGTCTCCACAATCCCCGTCCATGACTTTCAGTCCCAAATCCTGACAGCAGCGCACACACACACTGTGTTTGTGATGATGTCACAAACACACACCTGGAGAGTCCAGTGTGCTCTAAGCAGGAAGCAACAATGAGGTCATGTGACTTAATACAAAAACACATGAAGGGAGAAATTATCTGTAGAAACCAAACCAGTTTGTGTATCAGGCTGGAAACATGGGAGTCTATGGGGACTGAGTCACTGCTGCCTCTGCTGGATGTCAGAGGAACTGCAGGGATCACCTTCATTGTTGTTTTTGTCTTCATCTGATCACTGAGCTCATTTTGACTTATTTCACTGTTCAGGACATTTTTGATGTGTCTTAATGTCACACTAGGAGTGACAGGAAGTGACCTATACCCCGCTTGACAAAATAAAAGCTCTTTTTAATCAGAGTGCAGCATCGAGTCTGTGAAAATTCTGGACTATTGATCAGTTCAGTTAATCAATCACAAGCTGTTTGTGGACTGAGAGTGGTGCTGGAGCAAAGATCACGGGTTCATTTAAAGGTCAAATGTGAATCTCCTGTGTTCAAAGCTGCCTGACTGCCTAGTTAAACAGCAAAGATTAAACATGATTCAAAGGTTTCAGTCACAGATGAGAAGCTCGTGTTGTGTCTTTTCTCCCAGCTGTTCTTCATCTCACCTCACTTCTCCGATCCGTGTTTCCAGGTATTTCTGAGGCTGCTTTAAAGGCGGGAAAAGGTCTGGATCAGATCCACAAGAGAGAAAAGCAGGAACAGATACAGTCCAAGTCATTCATTTGATTCCAGTCAACACATTTATTGATCATTAGTAGCCACATTAAAAAATTAAGCACTGATTCATCCACCAAGGCTCAAACTGCACATATCCATGAAAACATGATATTTATCTTATAAATACATGATGTTTATTATTCAAAGGTGTTTGAAAGCCTTTCCAGGTGAGTTTGATCCAGGAGGGTCTGAAGCCAGTGTCAGACAGAGACTGCAGAAGGACGGAGCAGCAGCAGAGCAGTCCAGATACTCAGATGATCCTCTGTCAGCTGTTCTCAGAGCAGTTCACTCTGCAGCACTGACAGTCATCTGCACTTCTTCTCATTCCTCTGTCAGTCACTGCTGGATGAGGCACTCCTCTCCACTCTACCTCCCAGTAACATGGCCCAGTCAGAGCGTCTCTACACACAAGCTGCTGCTGCTTCATCCTATCTGGATCATCAGGACACAGCTCATCCTCTCTCAGCACACACATCATCCTGTTTACAACCAGCTCCACCTGCAGAGAGAAGAAGGAAGAGCAGAGGAACTAAACAAGTGTTTCCAGAGACTCTTCATCAGCTGTCAGTCAGTGATGCAGTATAAAGGGCAGCAGGGACTTCAGTGCTGGGACTGTACTAGTACTCATTGTTGGTTCACTTTTTCTAATCTTTGGATTTTTATTGAAGTTGATGAAAATTTTTTTGACTCCTAGTTTGAGTTTGGACCTTCATTCGTTAGAATAACCTTGGTCTGTCCACTCTGAGCTCTTTAGGAACCCCAACAGTCCAGATGGACGGTTCCAGCTGTTAACTGGAGGAATACCAGCCAAACATCTGCTCTCACTAAACTCTTCCTCACCTACAAACTGTGTTCTTCACTGCCTTACATTTGGAAATGAATGCAGTCATTCGTCTGCGTGCTGCTTTTGCTGACCCGTTACTATAGTGACCATGAAAGTCACAAAAGGCAGAAACAGGAAGTGTTTGTGTCCAATCCTGAAGCCTGTCACCATTCTCCTCAGCACCACCCACTCACTCCAACAGTCTACTGACCTCAGAGTCTCCAATCTGCAGTCTGGAATCTCGTTAAGATCACACAGCTGCTTCACGTCTGGATCCTTCAGGTTGTTTCCTCTCAGGTCCAGGTCTCTCAGATGGGAGGGGTTGGACTTTAGCGCTGCTGCCAGATAATCACAGCTTATCTTTGACAAACCACAGTTCCACAATCTGTATAAAGAATTAAAGAAAGTTTATTAGACAAAGTGTGTGCTTGAAATCATTCAGTGTTTCATAATCTGTTCAGAGCTGAAGAAGGTTCAGAATATAGAAGTGTAATAAAATGGAAACTCCAGACAGCTGAAGCCAGCAGGAAACAGCTTCAAACAAGAAACTGTGCAGAGTTTTCAGACCATATGCCCCAGTGCAGCCAGTTGGATTTTGGAGTTTTGAATCTCTGTTCTGTGACTAAGTCCTTGAATCATTTCTTCCAGTCGGTCCCACAAGACAGACTAAGTATTGGACATGTTGTGGCTCCATCTAGGGAGCTTCTAAATAATGTGTTGGCTGCTCTGGGTGTGTCAGATCACAGTACAGAAGAGAGCTCAAACTGGGCACACAGTTGTTCTAGTCTTGACCCGAGATTGTCTGAAACTGACTGGGAGATTTTTAGACATGTTCCACTCCTCCTTGGAACAACAGGAAGTCCTAAGCATATGGAAACAATGGTTAAGTGTCCTATGGCATTCAGTGATGATGGTCTTGTAGTCCCACCACCTCCACCTCTTTTGAAAGGAACTAACTGTAATCTGAAGCTTCAAATGGAACTAAGACTTCTCCACTAGGTGGCAGTGTCTGGTGAGAAAGTTCTAGTGTATCTGGCCTGTAGTCAGAAACAGGAAAATGCAGGATTTGTGCTGAAATGGGGAAAAGTGGTAAAGCAAGAAGGTTGTAGGTTAAAGCTTGTTGGTCAGCTGGGCCTTTCTTTGGAGGTTGGATGTTCTCCCTCAGTCCAATGAAATGCTGCTTAGGTTCATTGGTGCTTCTAAATTGGCTGTAGGTGTGGATGTGAGAGAGTGCTTCTCTGTTGGCCCTGTGATGGACTGCTCACTTGCGCAGGTGGACCACGCATCTTGCCCTATGACACCTAGAATACAGGCTCTAGGCAGCACGGTGGCACGGTGGTTAGCACTGTTGCCGCACAGCAAGAAGGTCCTGAGTTCAATTCTACCATCAGGCCAGGGTCTTTCTGTGTGGAGTTTGCATGTTCTCCACGTGTTTGCGTGGGTTCTCTCCGGGTACTCCAGCTTCCTCCCACCGTCCAAAGACATGCAGCTTGTGGGGATAGGTTAATTGGATAATCCAAATTGCCACTAGGTGTGAATGTGCGAGTGAATGTGAGTGCGAATGGTTGTCTGTCCCTGTGTGTTGGCCCTGCGACAGACTGGCGACCTGTCCAGGGTTTACACTGCCTCTCACCCTATGACAGCTGGGATAGGCTCCAGCGCCCCCCGCGACCCTGAAAAGGATAAGCGGAAGCGAATGGATGGATGGATTTGTGGCCTGAAATTCCCCAGTTACAGGTTTCGTAGATAACTATGACATGGTAATCACATCCAGCAGCTGTATTCTAACTGTAAGCTGAGCCGTCCTAAGCCAAAGCACCGGCACTTTTTAAAATACAAATTACAACATTTAATAGAAACTTATTGGTCAGCATATTATTAGGCTGCTGTTAACTTCATTACACAGAAAACTGGTAGAAACTAACATAGTTCATAAAGAATAAAGAGAAATGTGATGATTTAAAAGCTTTGAAGTGCTTCAGATGATCTCTGTCCACTTATGTCCACTCATTCATTAATTTATGTAAGCTATCTAATGCAGCTTTTATCTTCACAGTCTGCCTTATGAAACTCATTCTAACCCTGAATGTCAGAGTGCTCCTCCTTCTCTTTTCCCATCATTCATGCTGGCATTGGAGGAGATTTGGATTTTGGATCGTGTTTTGGATGATGTGTGTATGTTTGTGTTGGACTGCTGTTTGTAAAGCAAATTGCCATTTTGGTTTGGATTTCAGTGTCACTCAGACTTTAAGGTGGAATGAAGAGTTTTAGAGTTTCGCAGTGAATTATCCAGTGGAGGATTTTTCTCTTTCTTTGAAGGTTTGAAATGTGAACATTGTTCTGCTACATTCAATTGACTAAACCAGAGAAGAAGAAAACAGACTTTACCATGAAGATCCTCAGTGTGGATCAGTATAATATCAGCCTGATGTCTGCAGTTTAGTGTCAGCACAACTTTCACATCATATTCATCTCAGCACAACTAAAACATGGTGAATGACCTCAGAGTTTCAAGTTCACATCCTGGTCTCTCCAGAAAACCACACAGCTGCTTCACTCCTGAATCCTGCAGCTCATTGTTCTCACTCAGGTCCAGCTCTCTTAGATGGGAGGGGTTGGACTTCAGCGCTGCTGCCAGATAATCACAGCTGATGTCTGACAAACCACAGCTCATCAATCTGTATAAAGAAGGAAAGATTTAAGTTTTTTAGACAAAGTGTGTGCTTGAAGTCAGTCATTCAGTATTTCATAATCTGTTCAGAGCTAAAAAAGGTTCAGATGTAGAAGTTTAGAAAAAGGAAACTCCAAACAATTTAAGTCAACAGGAAGAAGCTTCAAACAAACACAAGAGAAAAAAATCTGAATTTTTCACATTAAAGTTGTACATTTATCATAAAAACATGAAGAGTTGTTAAGCTTTAATGCATGAAATTAAAAAAACAACAACATCAGAGTCCAAAACAAAGAAAACAAGTTCAGCAGGCCGACTATGAGGTGCAGTAAGGGACGTTATTACTGAAACGCTCTCACACATACTACTGAAAAGCTCTCACACACACTACTGAAATGCTCTCACACACACTACTGAAACGCTCTCAAACATTAATGAAACACTCTCACACACACTACTGAAACGCTCTCACACACACTACTGAAATTTTAGCTCTCACACACACTACTGAAATTTTAGCTCTCACACACACTACTGAAACGCTCTCACACACACTACTGAAACTCTCTCACACACACTACTGAAATGCTCTCACACACACTACTGAAAAACCAAGGCATTTCAGTTGAACAGGGAGGCATTTCAGTTAAACAGGAAGGCATTTCAGTTAAACAGGAAGGCATTTTAGTTAAACAGGAAGGCATTTAAGTTAAACAGGTAGGCATTTCAGTTAAACCGGTAGGCATTTCAGTTAAACAGGAAGGCATTTCAGTTGAACAGGTAGGCATTTCAGTTAAACAGGAAGGCATTTCAGTTGAACAGGAAAGCATTTCAGTTGAACAGTTAGTTGTTTCTTGACAAGGAAACTGAAGGAAAAAGTGGTAGATTTCAAACAAACCACTACACAGATGTCTACTCAGCAACCTGCTAGGAGCCTAAGTGAAGCAGCTGCATTACTTAACAATATATAAGCCTCAGCATAAGTCAAAATTTAGAATAGCAGATGGGAATTATTCTTGTTAAATTTTTTTGGCATATGTGCTTTTTGTCTTTTTTAGCAAAGAAAAAAAATATCTTAAAATCATTATTAAAACCAGGAAGAGAAGGCTTAGTGTTCCTCCATTTAGCACAATGGATATGATATTTACTCAAAAGTATGATGATGTTAATAATATCTGAGACAACCAATGCTAGATGATCCATATAAAAAAATCTATGATGTAATTCAAATAGTGGCACATCATTAATATTTAGGGAAATCCAATTTTTTAAGTTGCACCAAATGCATTGTGTGATAGGGCATAGAAAAAAAAGATGTTCTAGGGTTTCATTTTCATCAGTACAAAAAGAACACTGATCCACCTCAAAGCCGAATCTCAATTTAGTAATCATTTTAATTCTGCCACAGGATTAATTTTGTTTATTACCTTAAGTGTGTTTCTTTAACTTTAGGTAGAATAGGCTATTTCATAAATTTTTATTATACTTTATCCAGTGTATATGAAATAACTAAATTAGAACCATGCAATGTAACCATTCTGTTGTAACTATGACATATTTTGTCTTTGAAGAAACTACTAATAAATCTATTATTGCATTTTCATCAAACAGCTGACATTGCCCTGGCAATAAATTTGGGAGCGCTGATGAGAAATTATTGTATATCATAAAATTTTTAATCAAATGAAGCAGAGGCAGAGGGACCAATTCACAAAATTTGTTATATTCTCTTTGAGAACAGTTTAGACAATATTTTTCCGAAAAGTATGTCTAACTTAGAATGACTCCGTTATCATCAACAAATCTGTTATGAATATTGTCATGGTTCGGCTGTGTGCAGGCAGGCAGAGAGGAAGGACCCAAAATGCAGAACTCGCGGAAGCGAAAGTGAATTCAGAATAACCAGCTTTGTTGCAGGGGTGACTGAAAAGAAAACTAACTATACTGAAAAATAACTAAACTGGCATGCAGGCAAACAGAACACACAGGAAGGTAAGAGGGTGAACAGACGTTAATGACGCGACACTGACACAAAGACACACTGGGCTTAAATACACTGAGGCAGTAATCAAGGGATGAGAGACATGAGGGGAACATACCTAGGGGAAATCACAACTGACGAGGCAGGGGGAAACGTAAATTGAACACACTCACATAAGACAAGCACCTTCAGAATAAAACAGGAAACTAACAGACATAGAGGACCAGACAAGTCACCATGGACAGACATAGGGACATACGGGCAGAGGAGGCTAAGTACAGTCAAAACCTAAACTAAACATGAGGGCAAGATAACAAAACCTAAACCAGAAATAATAATAATAATAATAATAATAATAATAATCATCATAAGATAGCTAAAGAATCAGAACATAATTATAATCAAAACAGTATTGCCAGAGAATAAGAAATAATCCATAATGCAAAAATAAACCAAAACATAAGAAACTCAAAATGCTGGGTCGAACCGACCCAGAACCATGACAAATATAACCTTTTTGTTTAAACCAGTCGCTCTTGAAAATTGATTTTTGATTGAGTGTTTTTACCCTATGATTCCATAAGGTTTAATTATGGGGAGAAGTTGTGGGTATATCTCATTATCTCAGATTTTAACCATTTAATTCTAAGGGTGCCAACCATAAATTCTAATTCTGGAGTTTTGATACCACCTTTATTGTATTCCTTCACAAGCTGAGATGTTTCAATGTAATGGGTTTTATTCCTCCACAAAAAATTCGAAAAGGCTACTTATGTTTATTTCTATCAGGACAAGCAGGGAAGACATGGACATCTGGACAGTCTAACAGGCTGCCTGAGTCCCCTCACCCATATCAGCCCAGAACTCTGCATTAACTACTGAGTAAGACTTAGAGAATCAGAGAGAAAAAGTTCTACAAAGAATGGAACAAGACTTCCTGTATAAGGCTCTGTGGACCTATGATCGGCAGTGTCGGGACAACTTTCACATCATATTCATCTCAGCACAACTAAAGCATGGTGACTGACCTCAGAATTTCAAATCGACATCGTGGATTCTCCAGAAGAACACACAGCTGCTTCACTCCTGAATCCCGCAGCTTGTTGAAGCTCAGGTCCAGGAGTTTCATGAGGTAGGGGTTGTACTTTAGCGCTGCTGCCAGATAATCACAGCTGATGTCTGACAAACCACAGCTCCCCAATCTGTATGAAGAATGAAAGATGTAAGTTTATTAGACAGTGTCTGCTTGAAATCATTCAGTATTTCACAATCCACTAAGAGCTGAAGAAGGTTCAGAATGTAGAAGTTTAGAAAATGGAAACTTAAAACAGCTGAAGCCAACAGGAAGCAGCTTCAAACAAACACAACAAGAGAAAAAACTCTGAATGTTTGACATTAAAGTTGTACTTTTATCATACAAATATGAAAAAAACCTTGAAAAAATTTGTTTTACATTCCAGAAGCCTCATAGCTTCACTTTTAAAGGTGAAGTTGGAAAGGAATAGACATATTCGTAGTCCAACCACACCTTTTTCCAGTCACATTATTAAAACAGACAAACTACAAGCTCATTTTCAGTCCAACGAGTCATCTTCTGACCTAGACTAACAACACTGGTCATCATTTGCAGCTGGCTGTGAGACCAGTGCTCAGGGACCGTCTACAGAGTGCAACACTGAAAGAACATCACATACAAATTTGCTTCCCGCACTTTCACACAAACATCTATTGTCATTATTTTTACCAAACTCTGTGGAGTCCTTTATTGGAAATTCAAATGGGATTCAAATGGTCAGACAAAAGAGGGTGATGAGGAAATATGATTAAATGTTGTCATTTTCCTTATATACCAAAGATAATGATTGACAAATGTGTTTTTACAAACTCAGTGATGGACTTTGATCAACAGGATAACCCTGATTGCTAAGGGCATTTTAAGATAAGATAAGATAAGATAAGATAAGATAAGATAAGATGAACTGTATTTATCCCAAGGGAAATTCTTTTGTCACAAACACTCCTCTTTCAATGGAGCAGCAGCAGTCCATCTGCATCTAAAGGACAAAGGACACTCTTTCGAGGATGCCAGTGTTCACATTTTGGAAAGAGAGGACAGATGGTTTGAAAGAGTAAAAGAAGCCATCTATGTCCACTGTGAGCGACCATCTTTGAACAGAGGCGGTGGCTTACGACACCAACTGTCTGCCATCTATAATCCAGTTTTGAGTTCCCTTAATGCCCACTCAAATCCTGGGCCATCTAACCTCAGGAAATCGCATGATGGGGTGGGGCCAGGTTTCACAATGTGCTCACCCGAAACCCTGGCCACACCCATTTTCACACCTTGGCTCATGTGATTAGGTAGAGGATCATCAGGGGGTCCTTTTGTCCCTCTTTGGGGGGTTACCCCTGCTGGGTTTAAATCTGGCCCCCACCGCCATTTGACCTTAGAAGTGAAGAAGCTTCTCGGATGAGAGGTGAAATGTCTTCAAGCAACTTAAAGAAGTCCAGAAGCCTTTCTTTCAAGGCTCCTTAGACTTCGATGACCTGGATGACTAAGAACCATCACAGACATACTCACTTGCAAATTCCAGAAAGCTTGGTTGTTTATAGAATAATATCATTCGGACTTTAAATGATCAGCAGTGGGAATGTTTGGATGCTGACCTGAGAGTTTCCAGTATACAATGTGGACTCTGCAGTGCAGCAGAAAGAAGCTTCATGCCGGAATCCTGCAGGTTATTGTTACTCAGGTCCAGATCTTTCAGATAGGAGGAGTGTGAGTTGAGAACTGAGGACAGGGCATCACAGCTTCTCTCTGAGAGGTAACAGTGACTCAGTCTGAAAAACAAATTAATTAATTAAATCAGTCAAATGAAACATTTTTTTAAAAACCTAGCAATACAATTAATGGTTATCTAAATAGCTTCATGAAAACACAACTGTCCTTCTATATCAGCATTTTCTCCTTGTAAGCTCCACCTGCTCCACCTTCTGTTTCAGAAGACATAAAAACACACTGTAAATGTAGTAGAAACATTATTGATTGGAAATGTAATCTTCTCAGAGCCATTTGTACATTTTAGAGCTTGATATTGAAATGTAAGTGTGGACAGCACGGACATTCACAGCAGAAAAGATATAAGAAAATGCCTGTGTTCAGTAAATATTACTCTCGTGCTATCAAGAAATACCAAAGATAGGTAAAACTCTGGTTGTTGCAGCCATCCAGCAATCCATATTTTGTACTACTGTGCTGCAGGTTGTGGCTACATCCACACTAGCCTGGATAGATTTGAGAATGGTGTTTTCGTTCACTTATTCACTTTCCGGCTCTTTAAAATGTCGTGGTTGAGGAAATGTCAAGGAAAAGCACTAAGTTCTTTAAATGGACTAACAATGAGGTGGAGTTGTTTCTGCGAATAACACAAAAATACAAAGTTGCAAAAGCGAGTGAGAGTTAAAGAATTTTAAGAAAAGCTATCTGGAGCATGTATAGACTGATTTATCTTTAATAGGGTTGTCAGAATTGAGAGCAAACAAAAAGACTGCTGTATAATGCCCTCCACTATCTTAGTTTAATTGGTCACATGACTGCATCATATGACTAACATGCATCATCATTTTAGAAAGTCTCCATTTTCCCTGTCCACACTGTGACGCGAAAGCAGTTTTCAAATGTATCCATTTTTGAGAGCGTTTTCAAAATGCCCATTTCCCTTCTTTTCCTATGTCTTGTGCTTTTATTTCAGTGAACTGAGGATCTACCGCCGGCCGTGGGACCTCAGATGGTGGGTCGTTTTCAACACTTCCTTTGTTGTAAAGCACCGGGTGAATAGACTGTAGTGGGGGGTCTTTTGTGTGGTTTTCTTTTTGGTCCCTTCTGCTGGTAAGGCCCAATTGTCTGTCTATTTTAATTTTAATTTGGGACACAGTTTTAGATGACACTGCATTCAGTGCTCTGTCATTGTTGATTTTTCGTCTTATTTTATATTAATAAATAAAGTTGTGTTAAAATTTGAGCGGACCTCAGTGTGCATTTCTGAACCTGTGCAAATGTTGTTTTTTAAATTACATTTAATTTCTAAACGATTTTGTATTTCCTAGAGTGGCGTTCTCATTTTATTACTTTGTTTATAACCGTGCCGACCACTTAGTGCGATCGTGGCTCAGAAGACGGGAGTTTGCCTTGTAATTGGAAGGTTGCCGGTTCGAGCCCCAACTTGGACAGTCTCGGTCGTTGTGTCCTTGGGCAAGACACTTCACCCGTTGCCTACTGGTGGTGGTCAGAGGGCCCGGTGGCGCCAGTGTCTGGAAGTCTCGCCTCTGTCAGTGTGCCCCAGGGTGGCTGTGGCTACAACGTAGCTTGCCATCGCCAGTGTGTGAATGTGTGTGTGACTGGTTGTGTATAGCGCTTTGGGGTCCTTAGGGACTAGAAAGCGCTATACCAATACGGGCCATGTACCATTGGTCACATAAGGATATTTCTATGGCTGCAATGAATCCCTGAGTAATTCAAATGCTTTGTTTAATGAAATCCACCACGCATGTAAAAGCAAGAGTTTCACTAACATTTACGACTAAAAATAGACCTGCAGTAGAAATGTATCTAGGAGCATGTATGTGAATATAAAGTATTGTAAAATTAGGCACGTACAGCCCTGGTGTTTAAACAAAGACTGATAACACAACAGCAGCAGTGATGATCATAGTTTATGTAGGATTCAGCGTCTTGAGTACACTGATGAGTTCTTGAGCCATCAAAGAGTTTTCAGTTGTATTGGAAAACATTTCAAGACTTTAGGATATGAATTCATAGAAAGATAAAAAGCCTAGTGAAAAAATTACTAAATTTATTTCACCAATAAATTAAACACAAGACTGCAAATGTACTTACAGAGCCTTGTTGGAGGCTTTGACAACTGGCAGCAGCCTCAGAAGAGCCTCCTCTGAAGCAGAGTATTTCTTCAGGTCAAACACATCCAGATCTTTTTCTGATGACATTAAGATGAAGACCAGAGCTGACCACTGAGCAGGAGAAAGTTTATCTGTTGAGAGACTTCCTGATCTCAGGAAATGTTGGATCTCCTCCACTAGAGAATGATCATTCAGTTCATTCAGACAGTGGAACAGATTGATGCTTTTCTCTGCAGACAGATTCTCACTGAGCTTCTTCTTGATGTACTGGACTGTTTCCTGATTGGTCTGTGAGCTACTTCCTGTCTGTGTCAGCAGGCCTTGTAGGAGAGTCTGATTGGTCTGCAGTGAAAGACCCAGGAGGAAGCGGAGGAACAAGTCCAGGTGTCCATTTGGACTCAGTAAGGCCTTGTTCACAGAACTGTGGTGGAGAGATTCTTTGCGTTTTAAAAAGCCAGACCACGTGGTTGTTGTTTGTTGTTCTTCCAGCAGATTAAGCCCTGAGTTGATAAAGGTCAGATGGACATGAAGAGCAGCCAGAAACTCCTGAACACTCATATGGATGAAGCAGAACACCTTGTCCTGGTACAGTCCTCTCTCCTCTTTAAAGATCTGTGTGAACACTCCTGAGTACACAGAGGCTGCTCTGATATTGATGCCACACTCTTTCAGGTCTGATTCATAGAAGAT